GTGTGTGTGTGTGTGTGTGTGTCGGGCGGGTGGGGTGGTGGTGAGTTGAGTACAGGTTAAGAACGTGGGGCGGAAACTGAGGCACGGAGTGGGAAGGAAGGAGCGCAGGTGAAGGAAGGCGCTCTGCTCCGATCTGGACTCAAACTCCTCGTCCCTCTTCCCTTCCAGACTCCGCATACCTGGACGAAGTGTCCCTGCCCGACTTCGAGCTGCTCAGCGACCCGGAGGACGAGCACCTGTGTGCCAACCTGATGCAGTTGCTGCAGGAGAGCCTGGCCCAGGCGCGTCTGGGCTCGCGGCGGCCGGTGCGCCTCCTGATGCCCAGCCAGCTGGCGAGCCAGGTGGGCAAGGAACTCCTGCGCCTGGCCTACAGCGAGCCGTGCGGCCTGCGGGGGGCGCTCCTGGACGTCTGCGTAGAGCAGGGCAAGAGCTGCCACAGCTTGAGCCAGCTGTCCCTCGACCCCAGCCTGGTGCCCACCTTCCAGCTGACCCTTGTGCTGCGATTGGACTCACGCCTGTGGCCCAAGATCCAGGGGCTGTTCAGCTCCGCCAACTCCTCCTTGGTCCCTGGCCTCAGCCAGTCCCTGACTCTGGGCACGGGCTTCCGAGTCATCAAGAAGAAGCTGTACAGCTCGGAGCAGCTGCTCATTGAGGAGTGCTGAACGCCGGGCCGGGCGGAGACCTGGACCCTTCGCGGGTGGACTCTGGGCAGGCAGCAGCTTAGGGCCGCTGCACTTGACCTTCGAAGACTGTGAGGGACGGCCACTGGAGGGGCGGGAGACAGACAGTGTTTTCCTAGGAGCCCTTCTGAGGCGGCTGCAGGTGCTCACCCCTTTAGTACTGTAGCGTGAAAAAAAGGTGGAGAGGCCGGTCGGCCAGTCTGGTCGAAGTGTAGCATGTCCCTTATTTGTATCATAACTGACAGTTAAGACAGCCGTGGTGTCCTGGGGCCCAGAGATCAGCCGGGCTGCCCGGCCTCGGGCCAGTAGGTGTATGCTCACAGTAGCCGGCCCTGTGGGGGGTGGGGGGCCATCGAGGGGAGTTTTTGTGTCTCCTGGTCTGGAGGGACCAAGTGAGTGTGTTCTTTGGTTTTCCTGTCTCGTCCCGCCCCGCCCCCGTGTCCACGGGAACTTCACTACTGACCTGTTGTAGGCAGCTATCTTACAGCACATGAATGTAAGACTAGGAAGGGGGGTGGGTGTTGGGATCACTCTGGATCTTTGACACTTGAAAAATACACCTGAGGCTGCATTTAGCCCATCCCCCACGGAGGGGTGAAAAGTGGAGCTTAAAGGGGGTGGGGCTGAGTGGGGGGTGGGGCTGGACCTCACCCTCCAAGAGTGCCTCCTATTCTTCCAGCTAGGACTATTTACGTGAAGATACTTATTGTTCGTGAATACACTTGATGTTCAAGTATTAAGACCTATGCAATATTTTTTACTTTTCTAATAAAAAAAAGTTTGTTTTTTAAAAAGAACCAATTGGTTGAGTCTTTCATGGGATCCTGAAATCAGGGTGGGAGATAGATGCCGGTGAAATGGCTTTCATCACATGCTTGTCTTGCCCCCTCCTGGGGATTGCCTGCCAGGCTGCAAAGGCTTGTGCACTGTATATACCACCTGTGCCCAAACTCTTGCTCTGTGCTGGCTGAGGCTGCCCCACTCCCACCGAGAGGGCACACTTTAAAAGGTGAATCAGACCTCAGGCTCCCTGAGCCACAGCTCCCTGGCTGCCCTGGGTCAGAGGGCATGGGGCCCTGGAGCCCAATCCCCATACAGCCAGTGACATTAGGCTGGAAGCGACTTCTTAAACATTGCCTTTTTCTGCAGTCACATGAAAACTGCTCATTTTACTTGGATAGAAAAGAGAGGCCAGGAGCCCCCAAAAAAGGTTGGAGATAGTTGACTTCATCCCCGCTTCTCAGTGGGGTTCAGGACTGTGTGCCACAAGGCACACACACACCCCACAGAGGTGCACAGGTGTGCAGAGTTGAAGTGGGGGAGGGAGGAGTGGGAATAAGAGGGAACAGCCAGGTCTGAAAAGCAGCATAGGAGAGACCAGGACTCATTGTGCTGCTAGGGCCTCATTTCCTTATTGTTGAAATGGGGGCTGGGCTAGATGAAGGCCAAGGCCTATCCCACTTCTATGGGCGGTTGGGGCAGGTCCTTCCACAGTTGCTAGCCTTTGGAGAATTCTTACCTCCCAAGTTTTTTTGCCCAGTATCAAGCATGTCCTGTTTTCCCAACAGGACTCAGTGGTTCTTCCCCTGGACTACAGCCCTGTGTCAAGTTTGATGAAGTAGTTCCAAGGCAAAAGCAAACACCAAATCAGATGCTGGCAGGCGGGTTCTAACTCATGGAGAGCCCACCTGCTACAGCGTAGAACGGCTGGTGGGATTGCTAGGCCTTTCTTCTTCGCAGTGCCCTTAACCATTTGGAAGTCCTTGGTTCTCTGGCAGGGCCCCAGAAATCTGCATTTTCATCAACCTCCCAGAGATTCTGACCCAGGGTCCTGAACCTGGAGATGGCTTGGAAGACTGGCCTCTCTGGTAGGACGGAGTGTCTTGTTTCCTTAAGTGAGTGACCTTGAGTTAGAATTAGATTTGAAAATGGACAGTGAAAACAATGACATGCTGAGAACCTGGTTCTGAGAACACTCTCACTGTTACCACCATCCCTTTTAAATTCTTATTTAGCATATTTTCCTAATAGCTACCTTGTGAGGGCTGGGTGGAACAGGGTTTTGTAACATTTTACAAATGAGTAAACAGAAGCCCAAAAGGAGTCCTGGGAGCCTAGTGGGCTGCACACTGTGTTGCTAATCACAAGGTCAGTGGTTTGAATCTACCAGCTGCTCCAAGGGAGAAAGATGAGGCTGTCTACTTCCATAACGATCTCAAGTAGGAAAACCCACAGGGGCAGTTCTACCTTGTCCTCAAAAACAGTGAGTTTGGTGTTTTTGAGTTGAAGCAAAGGCCCAGGCCCTTGAATGACCATCTTCTTCCGGTCATGGGCTGCTCTTGTCCACTTACAACCCCTTGGGGTGAGGATGGGGGAAGTTTAGCAGACTTGACATTTGGGCCGCCTGAGGGGCGGCGTTCCTGGTGCCAGTGCTCTTGACTGCGTGTCCTTCGCCCCAACGAGGAGTAGGGGGAAAGTTTGGATCTGCCCTCCCAGCAGAGATCTTGCTTGGCAGGGATGAGCTGGATGGCATGAACCTCTCACCGAGTGCAGGAGCAGCTGAGCACACTCAGTTCCTTCCCTTCGCTGCAGTAAGACCGAGGTCAAATCATGCTGGGCTTACCAGGAAGCTCAGCTAAGAGTCCTCTCTTGAAGCTAGACTGGCTTCTTCAGTCGCCCAAGGCCTGGAAATCCACCGAGGTCGGACAGAGGGCCCCAAGAAGGAGCTCTGTAGCTCGGGTTTCCCTGTCTCCCCGAGAAGCCCAGGCTTGCTTTACCCCAGCTCTTAGTTTCCCTCGGAGCAGATAGTTAGGAGCCCTGGTGGCAGAGTGACTGCCGTCTGCAAACGACCAGTCTTCTCCACAGGAGAAAGACAAGGCTTTCTACTCCTGTAAAGAGTGACAGTCTCAGAAAACCCACAGGGGCAGTGCCACCCTGCCCTATAGGGCAGCTATGAGTCGACATGCGCTTGATGGCAGTGAGTTTGAATTTAAAGAGGATAGGGCATGCTCCTTTGTCATTAAGACCCTGGAAGTTTAGTAAAATGAATGAAGACTCACGCCTAAAACCCAACATGGGAAAATGCGTTCCGGAAAGTGTTCTATTGACCTATAAAATTTGTACTGATTACATTTGTATATCTTCCCTTATTCTCTGTTCTCATCATGCCAGCCTACATCAAGAGACCTGGTGGCATCGTGGGCTGCTATACTTAAGGTCAGCAGTTCAAAACCATCAGCCACTATGTGAGAGAAAGATGAGGCCTTTTCTACTCCCTGGAGGATTTACAGCCTCAGAACCCCCTGGGGGCAGTTCTACTCTGCTCCTCTGGTTGCTAAGAGTTGCAATCAGCTCAGTGGCAGTGAAGGTTTTGTTTGGGTTTTGAGTTTTCAGGCTAGAACCTGAAACAACTCCCTCTTATCAGACTCCATTGTCTGATAAGGGCTTTTCCCTCTGCATGCTCACTTCCCATCGCCCGTGTGACTGAAGCCCAGGGCAGGATGAACTGCCCACTCCTCTCACCACAGTAGATGCTCATTCTACACTTTGCTCCAGCCAGGCCCTCCATCGGCAGTACCCTCTCTTTGCCTACAAGCCCTACAAAGCCCAGAGCAAGTTCCAGCCCTTTTATGTCAATAGCCACCTCCTTCCTGCTTTATCCTTTATGATTGTAATTTGAAAACTTAGTAATTCTCTGCCCACGTATGCACTTTTGTGTCCTTCAAATCGCATGCACACACACAAATTAGCTTAACATGGATCACAGATTTAAATGTAAGAGCCAATATTGTAGAACTCTTTTTTTTTTTACAATTTCAATAATGTATTCATTTAGAAAGAATTCAGTAACATTAGTCTTATTGTTCAAATGCTGCGACTATTCTACATACACTTTTTTTTTTTTAAATCATTTTATTAGGGGCTCATACAACTCTTATCACAATCCATACAAATTTAGTACATCGGCATGACCTTTGGTTAGGCAATAACTTCTTAGATAAGACACTAAAAGCATGATGATAAAAAAACAAGATTGACTAGTTGGATTTTATCAAAATTTTAAATTTCTGTACTTCAAAAGACAGCACTGAGCAAATGAAAGGACAAGCCACAGGGTCGGAGAACACATTTTCCAATCAAATATCTATAAGGGATTTGCATCCGGGATACATAAAAACAAACAAACAAAACTCTTACAACTCAGTTAAAAATGGAGCAAAGTAGAGAAATAGATATTTCTCCAAAGAAGACTTGCTTCTTTTTCTTTGATTTTGATCCATAAAGGACTCATGAGAAGATGTTTAACAATGTGGGTCCTTAAGGAAGTGAAAATCAGCATTCCAATGAGATACCATGCTTCACCACCAGAATGGTCATAATAAAAAGGAGACATTGGTGAGTGTTGGGAAGGCTGTGGAGTGACTGAAATTCTCATGCATTGTTGTTGCTGTCGGCGTCAGGTGTTACCGAGTTGGTTCCCACCTGTTATGACCTCAGGTGGATGGACGGAAACTGCCGGCCCTGCACTATTCTCACAGCTGTTCTCATGCTCAGGCCCATCATTGCGTCCATTGTGTCCGTCCAGCTCCTTGAGGCTCTTCCTCTTGTTTGCCGCCTCTCTACTTTCCCAAGCACGATGTCCTTCTCCATGGACTGGACTCTCCTGACGACATGCCCGAAAAACATGAGACAACGTCTCACCAGCCTTGCCTCTAAGGAGCATTCTGGCTGTACTTCTTCCAAGACAGATTTGTTTGTTCTCTGGGTAGTACATGGGGCTTTTAATATTCTTCTCCAGCACCACAATTCAAATGTATTTATTCTTTGGTCTTCCTTCTTCAATGTCCAACTTTCACACACACCCGAGGTAACTGAAAACACCATGACGGGTCCGGCTCGCCTTAGTCCTCAAGGGGACAGCCTCAATTTTCAACACTTTAAAGAGGCGTTGAGCAGCACATTCACCCAATGCAATGTTTCCTTTGACCGACTGACTGCTATTTCCA